TAGCAGTCACCCACAGTGAAGGAAAAAAAGTAGTTTGCAAATTTATTGTGGGGGCAATTTGTAATGTAAAAAAGAGTGCTTGCACATCCACATCTGTTATTTCCACATGGCCAGGCAACCCCAAAAGTATGCTGTTAGCTGTTAGATCTGATTGCCATAATCACATTTTGGTGGTTTAGAGGTACTTGAAACAATGTGAAAAAGGAACAAATGCCTCCAGAGGGTTTCCTGGGATCCACATCCCACGGGGGCAGCAGGGCCCACCAGCTCCTGTCCTGCTGCACTGGTGAGCACTGCCCACTTCTGCCCCTCCCTCCCTGCAGCACGCCCTTCGTGTGGGCGCTTTTGGCAGAGGACGTGTGAACAATTTTTAAGGCAGACTCTTGTTCTGACATAGCTGCACTAATGCACATTCCTCATTTATTCATGTGAGACAATAATTATTTGAGAATAAAGTAATAATAAGCTAGATTTTTTCCTTACCTTTTTGGAAAGCAGGCAAAAGCTATACAGTAGGTGGAAGAGTGTACCAAGTAACAGACTTTTGAACACTCTTTCTTACTGGTGGTATGCAGTCTACAGGAAAAGTAAATACATTGGTATGTACAATGCATCTGTTCACAATAAACTCTTCAAATTTTTCCCTGTCACTGGAGCCATGATATTAATCTGACCAAAAAGCTCAGATGAGAGCAGTAATAATGGACAGCTGAGATACACTGATACACGAAATTAGCTCTGGGCTGGGAATAAAGGAACCAGTTCATAGAAGTTCAGGTACCTCTGAGCATGGGAGCAGCTGCTCACAGCAGAGCAGGTCTGGTTGAATTTTTTCCTCTGCCCTGAACAAACTCCAGAGCATTTTGGTTTCCATTTAACATTCCCCAGTCCTTCTACATCTCTGAGCTCACTCTTGGTTTCCTCAGCATCATTGACAAGCGTTTTAGTTTCTTCCCGTCAGAGAGTGGAATAGGCAATGTCATGTCAGTGATGTTAAGAATCAACATGGGTGAATACATGAGCAGAGCAGAGTGCAGCACGGCAGCATTTGCATAGCAGTGTTTGTACATCTGCAGAGATGTTTGCAACCCACATTTACTATTCACACTTTACTGATGACAAAGTCAATGTCCGTTCCCAACACATGGAGAAAAACGAGGACTGACATGCCCTGTTCTCATCATCGTGCTGGTCAAGTTAGGAGGTGGCAGCAAGCAGGAAAGCAATATTCTAAAATGGAAATGTTTCTAGAAAAACAGGCAGAGATTTCACTTCACTCCTGGAAATTGAATCAACTGCCAAATAGTTTCTACTTAATGCTAAGGAAAGGAGAAAGGAAAAAAAATAAAACCATTTTGAAGATGCTTGAGTAGGTATTGAGTCCTCAAAGCTCCTGCTAACTTGAAAGCCCACAGGCTTACAGTGCTACTGAAAATCGGATCCTTCTAACCATTCAGATCTTAACCTTCATGGCTGGCAAACAGGGACACAATCCTTTGCTGCTTCTCACCAGATCGCAGCAAAACTCCTCACATCTCCTCCTGCACGCTGCCATTCCTTCCCAGCTGCTCTTTAGCACATGGGTGTCCTTGGCTTTGCCGCAGAGATGCTGCACACCTCCTGTTCCCTGCACTAACTAGTGGGGTGCAACACATCTCTCGGCCTCAGAGCTTTATCAGCATAGCACAGAAGAGCAAAATATGAGAATGAACTTGTCCACAGCCACTCTCATAGATGGTGAGCAGGAAGATGTGCTGGTCCGGCCCATGAGAAGCACAACCTCCTTATTATCGAACAATCGAGATTTCCCTGTTGCTGTGTTTGGAAAAGCCGTGAATTAAGTTGCTAAGGAGAAGGAATAATTACATGTAAATCTCAATATAAGTTAAGTATGGGTTGGAGGTTCAAATGTTTTCTCAGAGTCTGACACCACTGTTGCAGCAGAAACAAACACAGAGCCCAGCAGGAGCACCACTACCAGCTCAGCTTCAGGCGTGATGAGAAGCATCTGCCCCAGCACAGAAATCCACCAAAGACACACAGCACAGAATGCACTCATTGCACACACACTGCACACACACAGCTGCTGTGCCCCCAGTTTCCGCTCATCTTTGCTGCGCAATGTTTCAGATGCAAACATGTATTAGCAGAAAAAAGCTGTTGAATGAGTAAAAGCGTGGCCATGGCAGATGGAAAACTGGAATGATTAAAAGAGTGACAAAGTTCCAGATTGAAAAGCGGGGCCTTAATATAACCCGCTCAGCATGGAAGCCCTCCCAGGTCAGGGCTCGGGGGCTCAGCCTGTGAAATTTCTCACTTCTGAGACATCCTGAAGCAAAAACTGCAACACAATGAATCCTCACTCCTCCAGCAGGGCAGGACATAGGGTCACTGCATTTCCAGTGGCTTTCCAGCCACATTAGTGTGGTTTCTTCTTCTATACTGGCTCTGCAATCCCAGCTTGAACCCACCTCTCCTAAGCACAGGGACCCTGCCCACCCCTGGCCATGTCCCCCATTCCCCAGCCCAGCTTGCAGTGGGGCTCACAGCCAACTCCGAAAGAGCAAAAAAGAGCCTCATTTCAGGTATTCAATGAACTACTCCATAGATGTACACACAGAATGTTGTCTGATTAGGGGCCTGACTGACATCCCACTGAACACCATGCAAAGCTCCCATCAGATGTAGCAGTGGTCTGTGGGGGTGGAAAATGTACCCTGCTACTTCAAGTACAGCAGTAGTGTATTTCATTTGACCTTCTAGTAGTATACATTAACACACATGCAAGGGATGACATAACAGTGGTAGGTGCACCATGTAATATGAACATAGGTTGATGTATTTATCTATGTAATTAATTAAAAGTTTTAAAAGATAACGTTCTCTGCAAATGTTACAGACTAAAAAGCCCGATACCTGCAGAAAACCACTTAATAACTGCACACGTTCTGACTGGCAAGCTTTCACAAGCAAATGTGTACTCTTCTGAGTCCTATATGTAAGCCAATGAGACCACAGAAAGCACTTTCCTGTCACCTACTTCAATTTCAAAGCTGGGACGGCATCTCTCCCAGCAGACTGTGCACAGACTTCCCAGCAGTGCCAACAGCCCAGGCCTCAAGGTGGGATTCTAAGGGCAGAAACTTGCAGGGGAGGAATCCACCCTTACTGCCTCTTAAAAGCACATCTTGGCATACAGTCCCTGGGTGAAAAAATGATTTTTAATAGGAAATATGGGGCTTTAACTGAGTCCTGGTTAATAAAAATATCTCCTTCCAGGAAAAAATGTGACTGGTTTTGGGGATGGGAGGAAAGAATCCTCCAAAGCCTGGAAACAGCAAATAAATGCAGCTCAGGAAAATGAGACCAGAAGGGGAAACCAAGAGTGTGAAACCCCTGAACTGCAGTCCCACGGGGCAACACTTCTGTTACCACACTGAACATTTCAGCATTAGAACTATTTTTTGCTTTTCTTGCATTTTATGTCTTTAAGTGCAAATTGCTAGATTTTTTTTTTTTTTCTAGAGGAGAAACTCACCCCAACTCATCTGACCAGCACAGCAATCAGTGAAACGCGGTTCAGCAAATCCAACTCCCTTTCCCTCTCCTATTGGCCCTCAGGGACTGCTTCCCTCCTCACCTTTCCTCCTCCTTTCCCCCCCCCTCAGACAACACACAGAGGAGCTGCCCCACAAACAGGAGGGTTCAACCCCAGCATCATAGCAGGAGAATTAGGGTTTGAAGGGCAGGGCTGCTTCTTGGCAGCCTTTGGCAGCCATGCAGTGCAGTAGAGCATTCTGCAGCTCCCACTCTGGCTATAATACCAAATATAATACCAATACCCTAACGCAGAAGTAGATTTATTCCCTTGACTGGTGAAGGTTCTGTTCAGAGGAGGCATGATACGGTCCTTCATTTGGTAGAAATATTTCCTTGCTCTCTTTTGATTCTGCCAGAATTGTGAAACAGTTCACAGTTTCTGAAGGCAGATTCTTTTTTTCCAGTTAGAATAAGGTTTCACAGAATCATAGAGTGGATTGGGTTGGGAGGGACCTTAAAGATCACGCAGTTCCAACCCCTGCCGTGGGCTGGGTGCAGGGCAGGGCAATCCATCCACCAGGTGAGCTGTATGATAGGGCACCGCAGAAACAACACACAGGGGTGAATGAAGGGTGGAAAAGTGCTGTGACAATAATTTGCTGGCTGCTCCCTCTTTGCTTTGACAGCAGAGTTTCTGTTTTGAGGCAAATATTCAGACAGCAGTTTAATAGACAAGAAGTGGCAGAAATTGCATCAGCAAATGGATAAACGGATCACAGGCAGGCATGGGGCACTCCTCCACATTCAGATCTGTTTTTCATAGAAACTGCAGAAATGCCCAAACCTTTCCGCTATGCTACAAAGTTGTGCAGCTGTCTCCTTCCTCAGCTCCCTCCAGATTCAAACGGAAATCAAATATATGATGGCCTCAGTATGTAATTTTGTGCTACAGTATACCATACTACATGCATTGAGGAAATTGGCAGCATCTTTTTGATCTGTTTTCCTTTTAAATCAATGACAAAATTTGCATTGAGTTTTACAGGACCGGATCAAGCCTACATGGGAGCCTTCAAGGATGGCGAGATTCTGGCAAAGAAACTTTGCAGGGAATGCAATTGTATCTCAGGTTAATGGGGTTCCTGCTGAGCTCAGTGCCTGCCCTCCTCCCAGCCTGCAAGGCCGGAGGGTTTGGTGTGGCACAGGCTGGAGGTGCTGCAGCACCTGGGGGTGTTGGCACAGAGGAGGGGAAGGAGGAGGTTCCCTCATGGCTGCCACACGCTGTGCTGCCAGCCGGCACGACTCAAAAAGCGAGGAGGAAAGAGAGAAATTCGTACAAACCAAAGCTGAGCCATCCAAAATCTTTAAATGCAAAGGGCAAACGACATGGATTCCCCAGGACTCCGGCACTGCTCAAGGTCTCTAACACACACACACACGAAGGAGAGCTGAGTACTCACTGTTGGGGTCCACGTTCTCGCAGAGCTCCGTCTTGGCCTCGCCGTTGGGCCTGTCGCTGGGCTTGTGTGACAGCCGGGACGACATGGTGGCGGCCGTCACCACGGCCTTGAAGCTGCGCTTCCGCTTCTGCACGTTGAGCTCGGGGTGGAAGATGATGATGTACACTTTCGGCATGTAAAGCATCCCCAGGGCCACTGAAGCACTTAGGTTCATGGATATTGTAAGTGTGGTAGTTTGTATGTAGAGCTAGGAGACAGAACACATGAGGCACTGTTACAGATCAGGCTGGGCAGCGGGCGCAGCGCTTACAGCAGAACGTGGGCTTCAGCCCTGGGCTCACTGCAGGAACAGCAGCATGGCCCCAGCTGGGCTGCTCTGACCAAACTGGGCTTCTCAGCATTCACATGGGTGCTCTAGGGCTGTAACACGGCGCTCTGACCTTCCTAACCATCCAATAACTTTTCTTTTTAAATCATTTTTTTAATGAGTTTTAACCTAATATGTGTGAGCCAGGAACTGTGCTGTGACGTGCAGCAGCCAGCAGCTACCACAGCCCTTCAGTGCCTGCACCCACACAATCCCTCTCACACGCTCACAGCTTCCTTCCACTCACAGACCAAAGAACAGATGTGGATTTCAATAAAACTGGTATAAACTGAAACTTACGTCTACTCTAAGTTATAAAAGAAGAACATTAAATCCATAATAATATGGGTTAGTAAAAACTTACCTTAAAAAAAAGAAAGGAAGGGTTTTTTATTATTTTTAGTATGCTTTAATTCTGTACAGTTCATTGAAATAACTGTGCAGACGACACACGGTGATTTGTGTGTTCCCAATGCTCAGCTATGCTCAGTATGAAAAGCTTGTGTATGTGCAAGCTGGAGATCAGCTGCTCCCGTGAGATGAGTATTCAAAGGAACACAAGGATTGCTGAGTGTACTCTGCAAACACAGAAAGCAGAAAAGCCTTTCTTCCTTTTTTAATTACCTTTTAGAGGAAACACTTGATAAGTGAACTATAATGATTATTGTGAGTTAAAAGGCACAGAGACAGCACAATACAGGTGCAAAGGAGCTGAAAGAAGAAGTAAACTCCCTGCAGATCGTGCTCAAAAGGTAAATATATGGTACATCCATTCAGATGCAAAAGTTAATACACATTGTGGGCAATTCCTTCAGATCACTATTTTCTCTTCTCCTGCTATTCAGCGCTAATCAGTTTGCATTTCTGCTGGAAGAGCTCCATAAATAAATACAATGGCACAGGAAAATGCTGACCCTGCTCAGATACTTCCAAAGTCCCACACTTGGAAAAATATGAATGTCTCTAGACTTGCTGTTACATCTCCATAAGTGCTGCTATCACACTGATTAAGACAACCACTAGAAGCAATAAAGTGCCTACAGAAAACATAAGAAATGTGCTGTGCACGACATCTCTCTATACCAACACACACAAGCAAAGACTGCAGTGCCTTCTCAACATCTCTGTACCCATTATCAGACGGGAATGGCATCGATGTGATCAGAATTTTGTCAAGGCTGGAACGTTAGGACAAATCCCATCCCACCCTGTGGGAAGCAGTGCTGGGCCAAGTCCCACCATGCAGCCACGTGGTGAAAAACACACAGTGGTGCTCTGCAACCTCACCTCCCTGGAGAACACAAGAACCCTTACAGAGAAAGCAAGAATTTGGACCACGGGAGAACAAAATAAAGCTGCTGGCTGAGCACTGCAGCTTAACACACAGTGTTCTGCAGGCAAAAACACCACCTCTCTGTTGGACTGCCAACTTCATCCACTCAACTCCATTTCTCCTTTGGCCCCTCGGCCAACTGTTCCCTGTAGGAGCTTTGACAAACTTGCCAGCAATGCGACCTGGTGCTGTGTCAGCACAGAGGGAGGAGCAGCAGCCAGCCGTACTCACAGTGTGCCAGCACTGGAGCCTTCAGAAAAAAGGAGACGTGCAGCTGAGTAGGAATTACTTTGAAAACCATTACACACCAAGAAGTTTTCAAATGGATCCTCAGCAAGAGAAGTATTTGTTACCTTTGCCAGGCATCCTGGAGCAGCTTTGAGATGTGATGCTAACATCTCTTTGGGAACAGAATACTGTGCTCTGAGAGAAGCTCTCTGCCCCGCTCCCTGGGAAATGCTGCCCAGCCATGGCTGCTGAGCTGTGTGCTCAGCTGTGGGTGCTGGAGCTCAGCAGTGTGGCTGCAGCATCCCTCAGCCATTCCCCATGGGCTGCTCCATGTCTGGGCTCCCAGTGGGACTTTCCCAGTGCTCCCCCATCAGGGCTGCTGCCATCGCCATGCATGCCAGGAGTGCTTTTAGCCGGGTGCATGCAGGTGCTGAGCACCATTTCCTCATGCTTATGGGACAGAAGGTCAGACTGCTATGCAGTTATCTCAGCAGTGGGGTCCTCTGCAGCATGGGCCAGCAAAGGTTCCTGCCTGGGAATCGCCGATGGGAGATAAAAGGAGAGCGAGAAAAGAGCTTTTGTAGAACAAGGCAGGATGAGTGACACACAATGCTTCTCATGACAAATGGGAGCTTTATAAAGATAAGGGAAACTAAGAGATATGCTTATTATGCAGAACCTTAGTTTTATGTATTTTATCTCTGCTTTGTGGCTTTTACCAGTCAAACATAAAAATGCAGTTTACATGAAACTATTTCATTTCTTATTTCACTTCTTCTGATAAATTCTCTGAAAGCATTTTAGATGAATGCAAATTGGTGATTTAAAATACAAAGAATGAGATTTAACCAACAATGCGGGTCTGATAACTCATACGTACCTTTTACAGATGGCGAGTGAAACCCGGTTCCCAAACTGGAGATGAAATTAAGAAATTAAGAAGCAGATTCAGCAAGGGAGGCTCTAACCTGAGGTGAATGAGAACCAGGGCTGAGTTGAGTGCTTCCAGCGGAAACCAAAGCTTCCTAAAGTGGTGCTTTTGGTCTGCAAGCCCAATTCCACTGAGGTTTGAAGCTACCTTTGCTGCACCATGAGGACAAAGCCACCTGGGGGTCACTCACTCGCACCCTTCCAAGGCAGGCTCTCATTTTTGATGGATTCTAACCTGGTGTTAAACACACTGCCTTACAGCTACAAGTGCATCAGACTTTGAAGCGCTGCACTGGAGAAAACGAAGCCCTGAGGATATCATTCACATGCAGAGACACCTAGCTCTTATCATCTATTTTACATAAAGGATTCCCATTTGAATTTTAGATTTTGGTATTTTGCAGATTCTTGCTCTATTCATGCAAATGATGAAAATTACCCCAAAAACCTTGAAAGAAAATTAGACTGGTCTCAAAAATACGCATCTAAGAACCAGCAATTTTTACAGTGCAAAAAAATATCAGTGGACAATTTTGTATGAGTGAGAATGGATCTCAGAAGCGAAGCACCACAGGACCAGGCCTGTCAGTCTGCACTAATGCAGTGCCAGATTTGCACTGCTGGGCCATGATCACTGAACTGATAGCAGCATGCCTTAGAAAAGACTTTTTAGCAGTTCGCAGTACTTTTTGTAGGCTAATTCTTTGCATTCATAGTCTAATCAGGAGCAAGAGTTCCTTTTATCTAACTCAGTGTTGTAATTAGGCAGTGAATGGTGTTATTTTGCAGTATGGAAATAAATGGGTAACTTCAGATATTTTTGGGCTTGTGTTATCACAAACCAATTTATCTTACTTTTATATGGGAATTAAAACAAACGTTCTTACATATGAAGTAGACAGTTTATAAATCTCCCAGAAGACTCTCCCAGGTCATCTGAAGATTTCAGCTCATCCCTTGCATTATGTTACACAGACATAAGAACAAGAAACATTTCCTAATAAAAACCAGGATTAGCTCCCACTGCATGATGTGTTAGCAAAAATGCGGAAAGCAAAAAGACTCGAATACAAATGTTCTCAGACATTTTAGTGCCCAGTGCCCCTTTCTGCACCACAGATAGCAGGGCATTTTACAGGCAAATTAAACAAAGATGGAATAGCTTTTTGTCACTGGAAGTTTTGTTCCTTGCATAGAAAGAACCAGTGCCCTCTCCCTCCTGATGAGCTGTGGCCATTTGCACCTCACCCAGCAGTCAGGACCCAGGGCAGACGTCACTGCAGAGAAACAACGGCGGCAGAGAACCCCTAAAACCGTGTTGGTGCAGGAGAACACCACTGGCAGCTCCAGCTCCCTGGTGGGACTGATGGATGGGTGCCTCAGGGAAAGGCAGCTCCCTCCAGGCAGACACGGGCACACAGCAGCTCAGCTGCAGACACAGCACTATGCTGTATGCTGGTGACTTGCAGGACCCTGCCTCCACCCACATCCCTTTGAGCATCATAATCTGCTGAAGTTGTCATTTAGCAGTGCCCTTTAGAGAACTGAGCAGCTTGAAAAAAACCCCACCCAATCTCTTTTCCCAGATTAGAAGGTTTTAGCAGCGCTGAGGGCAAATGGTTTGCCCTTCTTTCAGGCTAACATCATTTTGAGGGGAAAGAAAAAAAAGCCACCACAGCAACAAAGCGTTGTGGACAGCAGGTTCTGGCATCCCCCGGTAAGTTTCCAGGAGGGTCACTTTTTCAACAAAAGTGGCACATATCTGTCATGGATGCAGGGAGCAGAGATTAGCCATCGCAGGGGGGATTTGACAGATGGATGGGGACCCACACCGTGTGCCCTCCGCTGCAGCCTCCTGCTCCTAATGCTATTAGCATAATCCACACCACGCCAGCAGCTCATCACCCTTTATTGCCTTTGATTATTTTGTCAGTGGGACATGCACAACCCAATGCTCTGTATGTGTGACAACACCAGGCGCTGTGACACCAAGCCATGCAGTGCTGTAAGCTGCCTGGGCTCCATACATTGTCTGAGCACTGCAACATGGCCAGCAGCACAGCCACAGCCTGCTGAAAGCTCACCATCCAATGGAATGGGTGGCTGCTCACTGAACACACTCTTGTCCCATCACTTTTCAACCTCTCACTTCCATTGCTCAGCAACCGCACCTTTTGTATGAGTGTCCCTGTTGTGAAGATACAACTCTTCCTTTGTTTTGCAGAATTTCACAACTTCATGAACCCAACCGATTACAACGCCGTTGACCATTAGAGGAAAACTAACTTATCCTTATGTGAGCAGGAAAGACATCAGGTGGTGTTGGAAAGAGAGGCCAACAGCTGCACCCATTTGAGCACAGAGCAAAGAGCAGCCCTTCTGCTCTGTG